AAGGAGCGGCCCAAGCCCCCCGTTGGTGGGGGATGGACTGGGGTCTTCTCGAGGCAAGCAGGTTTGCTGCCGGTGGAGCTGGGCCGCGGCACAGGTGCACCTGGGCGGCGCTCCCGTCTTGCGGGCTGGTGAGCACGGAGGCCAGGTGTGCGAGGAGCGGGAGGCCAGGCAGCCGAGGCCACCTTCCCGTAACTGCAGGAACCCCAGTTGACAATCGGGTGGCTGCGCTTCTCCTGCCAGGAGGACGAGGTCCCCCACGCCATCGCAACGTGCTCCTGCAGGCGTGCTATTTCCCTGCGTTACACTCCTGCAGGCGTGCTATTTCCCTGCGTCGCACTCCTGCAGGCGTGCTATTTGCCTAGTTACGCATGACAGTTCGCCTGTGCAAGCATTGTACAGACAGGTGCCTGTTGCGGGGGTGGATTTCCCCTGCGTCGGGTGGGCAGGATTCATGAGCAGCCGCTCCAGAGGAACAGCAACTGCTGCCCATTGCGAATGGAGCTTTTCTCGCTTTATTTATTTATTCGATTGATATCCTGCCTTTTTCCTACAAAGGGCTCAAGGCAGCTTACATCATGCCCCTCCTCCATCTTATCCCCACAACAAACACCCTGTGAGGTAGGTTGGGCTGAGAGTCTGTGACTGGCCCAAAGTCACCCAGTGGGCTCCATGGCCGAGCGGGGACTCGAACCCGGATCCTCTGAGTCCCAGTCCCAGGCTCTTAACCACGACGCCACCCTGGCTCTCACTTCCACTCGGCGGCCTCTAGAAGAACCCCAGAGGAATGGAAGGGGGAAGCAAAGCCCTGCTGGGACAGACGGGGTCCACCCAGCCCAGCTGTCCTTGGCCTGCCTTCCTATCGATGTTTCAGACTGCAGGGCCCATCATCCCCAGCTAGGCTGGTGAGAGAGGCAGTCCGTCACATCTTGAGGGACACAGGTTGGAGCGGCTGATCTCTTCTCCGCAGTGGCTAACCAGGTGAGTTCGAGATGCCCCCCAAAAGAGCATACAGGCACCCCCCACCTGCCCCCTGTCACCACACCACTTCCCCTGAAATGGACGCAACGTGCCCGGTTGCTCCTCACCCTGCTCTGCTGTGGCGCCCGGACGCTGGAAGGTACTTCCCAAGTGTATACTCTTTTCGGTGCCAGGCCAAAACCTTTTTATTTAAACAGTACTTTAAAATTGAACTACTTTTAACTTTCAGTTGCTCTGTTTGTTTTGTGATTTATTGTTCTGTTCTGTTCTGTTCTGTTTTTATTATTAATTAGAAATTGTTGTCTTAATTGTCCATTTAAATATTGTAAGCCATCCTGAGATTTTTGTATAACAGGACGGCATACAAAAGCTTTTGATCCTAAATAAATGCCTGAATGTCCTGAGTCCTCTGCAGCACCCTCTAGAGCATGGGGAAGGGCCCCCAGGGCCCCCCCCCAAGCCTGCTCCCGCTTCCTTTGCAGCTCCCAGGATGCAGGCTGCTCCAGGGAGCACTGACCAAGGCCGAGGGAGGGGGCCCTTTCTCCAGCTCTGTCAGAGCCTTCCCGCAGGAAGATGGGCTCGGGGCAGCTTGCCAGCACTTCTGCTGGCCTCGTCGTCCTCTGGGGCCTCCCCCCTGCTTTGCAAGCCTTTCCGTGGCCTCTCTCTGACTGGCACCTCCGAGGGAGGTTCGGGGGGCGGCCATGAGGAGGAGGGCCTCGTCAGTGGTGGCTCCACAGTCCTGACATGAGCTCCCCACTGAGGCCTGCCTGGCACCAGCCTCGCTATCAATTCAGCACCCAGTAAAGGCTGCCCTCTACCACAGGGCATTTCAGTGTTTACTGGCGCCTGCCGGTTGTTAGATGAGGTTGAACAGGGTCTTCTTAACCCCTAATTTCGCTTTTCTGTTGTTATTTGGTGTTTAATTTTGCATTGCAATTTGTATGTTTTAATATGTTTTGGCAGTATATTTCATATTGTTTTTTAAACAGGCTGTGGTGAACTGCCCAGGAAGATTCGGCTGTTGGGCAGTATAGAAAATAATTAATGAATTTTTGGAAACGGAGGGAAGTGAGGTATAATTTGGAAATGGTGCTAGGGAAAGCGTGTGCGTTCATGGTGTTCTGCGTCGCCCACTTGTGGTTGCGTAGTGGAACCGCAGGAAAGGCGGAGGGAAAACCCTGGCGAAAACGTGAAGATTATTTTAATCCTGCGAAGAACGTGGAGACAGAAGCGCCAGTGAGTGCCGGGTCAAGAGCCTCCCGTAGAAAAGCCCCCGGACCTTTTCTTCCCGTCATCTCTGGGGTGCCACACTGGAGAACCTGAAGCGCTCGTGGGACTGCTGCTACCATCATCCCCAGCCAGCTTGGGCTACACTACAAGCTCCCACTGGGAAGGATGAGGTGGCGATCCAGCGCCACTGGAGGACGTCAGCTGGGGGAAGGTTGGACCCAGCACCCTCCCTCTGCTCTGGACTTCAAACCCCATCTGCCCAACCAGCTTGGGGATGCTGGGAATTGTAGTACACGACCTCCGCAGGGTACTAGCCCAGCCTTCACATGGTTGGTAAGGCAGATCCACGCTGGCTGAATGGCCTTCCCGGGCCCGGAGCTGGCATTCCCTGGACTCCAGGCTGACTGGGAGGTGCGGGGCCGACGGGCACCGTGGCCTCCATGCCCCGCTTTCGCATTTCCCAAGCCCCTCCGGCGGATCACTCTCGGAAGCAGGAGGCTGGGTTCATGGACCTGCGCTCCAAGTGTCCAGGGCTTTTCCTCGCGAGCCTGCTTCAGCTCTCTCAAGAAAGAAAAGGAGGGAACTGTAAGATGCAAAGAAGATGGAAAGGCATGGTTAATGCACAGAGCATCTTTTCGGAAGGAAGGAAGGAAGGAAGGAAGGAAGGAAGGAAGGAAGGAAGGAAGGAAAGAAAGAAAGAAAGAACGAACGAACGAACGAACGAACGAACGGAAGGGTGTCTGAGAAGGAGGGGTTAAAGTTTTCCACCTTCCAGCCCCTCCTGCTGCTTTGCTTAAGAAAACTTAGGAAAGCGGGGAGGGCAGCGGAGATGTTAAAAGGCGGATTTTAAAGAATTGCCCTCCAGTCCACGCGCTGCCCGGAGGAGGCGGCTGTGCGCGGCCGGCACGAGCAGAGTCCGCTGCGCGCTGTCCCAGGTGGCGCCCTCCGCGCCTGGCCCCCCGGAGCTGCCCAGCCCCCGGCGAACCGTCCGGGTCTCGGCCCACCTTTCCCGCTCTGCCTTCCTGCGTCCCCCCCGCCGCGGCATCCTGAGCGGAGCGATGATGGCAGGGCTCCGGGAGGCGATTTTTGGTCTGGGATGCGCCCTCCTTTATTTCGCTTTGGAGAATGATGCGCGTGAGTACGTCTGGACGGGCCGGAGGGGACGCCGGAGGGTGGAGGCGAAGCAGCCGGAAGGAGGGAGCCCGGAGCGGAGGCGAGCCTCGGGGTTTTGCCGGAGTCGCAGTGGTCGTTCGGGCTGTCGCTGCCGTTTCTTGCGGGGGGGGGGGGGGACCTGTTGGTAGAAACATGTGGTCTATCACGCTTCTAGAGCAGTGTTCCCCAAGCCGAGTCCCTCCACATACGGGGGACAGCAGCTCCCATCATTCGCAGCCAGTGCGACCAGTGTGGCTCTTTCGCCCACCCTCGCAGCAGCCCTGCCAGGAGATAACGGCTGCGCATCCCGGCACCGGGACGGGACGGGGGGGGGGGGTCAATATCCAAAGAACTGCTTTCCCCCTCCGCGTCGCAACTCCCCTTGCGTAAAAGAGGCATCCGGTGCTACGGGTGAACGGGGCGCCCGTGCGAGGTGGTCCATCCAAGCTGCTTTCGTGGTTGCAAAGGCTCGGAAGGGCGCAGGAGTGGGAGCCGGGGCTGCCGGGGCCCAAATTAGCCCGGATGCCACGCGCCAAATCGGATATCGGATCGTTTTGGGGTTCAGGCGGATCACCCCAGTGTAAATGCTCTCAACCCAAAGTAGCTTGATAATGTGGCGCTCGCGCTAAGCTCGGAGGATTTCCCGCAGCTCTGATGCAGACGGGCAATAAAACTTGTAGTTAAAAGATCTTCCGCAAGACCGAGGCCATCCACAGGCTATCCGGAACAACCGAGGGGGAGAAAGCTCTCGCGGTTCGCTGAGTTTCGCATCCAGAGGAGTTGCTTCGCTTCCCTTCCCTTCCGAGCCGCCTCCTAACAACTCTTTCTTCAGAGTAAGCAGCGGAACGGTGTGATTTGAGAGTTAGAAAGGGACCGAGGAGGTCATCTGGTCCAGCCTTGGCTCAGCGCGGACGCGGCGAGCAAACGGGGCTGCCGCCGTCCCCGGCAGAAAGCGGAGCGCCTGCCTGGGAACAGCAGCGCGGGGCAGACTCGGTCGCGGGGTCCCAGGTTCCGCGCGGATTGGAAGAAGAGGGCGAGCGAAGACGTTTCTCCCTCGCTCATGCGACCTGGCGGGGTCGCCCCACGACTGATCAGAGGGCGTGTCGTTGCCATATGAAGCCCCTTGCCCGAAACGGCGAGCCGGCGTGACAGGTGACGGCCCCCTGTTCGGGGGGCTTCGGAAGGGGCTGGGCAGGCCCTCCCGCCGTTTCCACGCTCCGGTTCTCGCCCTGCCCTCCCGTCCTTCGCATGGCAGCTCCGCAGGGCAGCGCCAGGTCCGCCTCGGCCGCCCCCTCCCCAGGCGAAGCGGCCCGCGCTGTCCCAGCAGGCCGGCCCGGTCCGCTCCACGAGCAGGTGCAGGACGGCGGCCTCAAAGGCGGGGCGCCGCGCAACGCAGCCCCGGTGCGGATTCGGGGATGGGGACTGTCGTGAAGGCGCTTTCATGAGAAGAGCCGCTGGCTTCGCTGGGGACCGGGGCTTTCTTGAGGCAGTCCTGCACCCACTTCTGACAATGTAATTTGGCTCACTTGCGCGAGAAATCTGTTCTGTGTCAGCTTGGGACTGCGCAGCGGCTGGTCTCCCGCTGCCAAGGAGCGAGATGTGCTACAAAAAGCGCAGGCGGGGGATTAAAGTGCGTCGAAATGACTCCCGCCGTGAGGAAGCGCCGCGCCGTGCAGCGAGCCGAGACGCACCTTTCCGGCCGAGCTTCGCGTTCTGCGTCGCAGGCGGCCGGGTTCCCCTGCTGGGGTGACCAGGGCAGCCTTCCCCACGCTGCTGCCCCCAGCTCCACCGGACTGCGGCTCCCAGCATCCCCAGCCGCAGGCAGCTGCCCGCGTGGGCATGCTGATGGGTCCTGCTCCCTTTCCTTTCGCAGGTGCCAGGGCTGCACCCACCAAATGCGCACATTCCCACGACTTACTCGCGTGCAGCTCGGAGAAGCCCCGGGCTGGCTGGCTGGCGGAGCTCAGGCGAAGACCCGGGAGGACCCGCGCAGGTGTGTTCCCCGCAGGGTCCGCGAAGCGCTTTCCGCTCCCGAGGCGCTGATCCAGTGCCTGCCTCCCCTGGGCGCAGCGCTTGCCCGCCAGCCCGCCAGCCGCCGCGGATCAGGGCCCCGCTCGCTCGGGGAGGAGCGCGCTCCCCTCGCGCCCGCCCGCCCAGCCGCCCGTGCCTCCCCCCCCGCTCCGCTGCTGCCTTCTGCAACCTGGTGCCCGCCGGAGGCCCGGACTTCCACCTCAGCGACATCCGCCACCCAGAGAGCTTTGGCCGCGGGTGGCAGAGAAAAGGGCTTCATAGTAGCTTTCTGCTACTGCGACTCCAACGCGCTCTGGCCAGCCTGGTGAAGGGCCAGGCGCGCCGGGTGTTCCAGGTCGAGACACGTGGAAGGGGCCGTCCCGGGTCGCGCTGCCGCGCGGGGACCCCTGGAGCGGCGGTTCGTTAAACCTTCCGCCGACCTTCTTTTCGGCAGCCGACCGGAGAGCAAGGCGCGGGACTCCCGGCCAGAGATCTTTGCTCCACGCCGCTCTCTCGGGGCCACCGCGGGTCTTCTCCAGCCATGTTGCAAAGGGAGCAGTCACTCCAAGTGCTTCCTTAGTCGGTGGCTGGGAATGATGGGAATTGCAGTCCGGCACATCTGGGGGGACCCAGGCTGGGGGAAGGCAGTCTTGGAAGTGAAATTTCTGCAGGGTTTGGACTTTGCTCTTGCAGAGGATTCTCAGAGCATTATAAAGAAACAAAATATTCGTGTGGCGAGCAAATGCACTGGAATTAGGATGGAAGAATTTGGGCTGATGAAGTGTTTGTCTTTGCACCATCCAAATGCGTTATTTATTTATTTACACAAGTATTTATAGGCGCCTATAACTGCTGAGGTCTTCCTAGGCAGCTTACACCACATTAAACATATTATAACAAAATAAAACACATTAAAAACCCATTAAAACACTAACGAATTAAAACATTTATAACAGCAGTACGAAACGGGCCAGCATCCAGTTTTCTTTCCTGTTCATCTTTTCTGCATGGAGAATCATGTCCGAACTTTGCTTTGAGTTTGGGCTTACCCCTGGCTCTGCATTTCAGTAACAGGAGACGCACACACTTCAGGCACGGGGCTGAATCATAAAAGGCAAGAGTGCCCCTGACCATGTGCAAGCGGCTCCCTTTGTACCACTGAAGAAACACAGCCCGTCTCTGCAGGTCTAGAATCAGGAGCAAAAACGGAGGTGCTGGAGTTCTGAGCTGAACGAAAGGGCTCCATGCCCCGGGCACCTCTCGGGTCTGTGGACTTCTGGGGCAATCCATGGGTGCATCATCAGACATGAGGATCAGTGTTCACGCAAAACTCACGTGGGTGATTCATATGGCAAAGGGACATTGAGAAATCCGTGCGATCTTCGGGATAAAATGGAGCAACCCCCCCCCTCCCCGCACAGTCTGGCCGGGTGAGCCAGCCGGCCACCTGCTCTTCCCCGGGGATTCTTCATCTTTACGCTGGACTTGGATGGGGCAGGCTTCGAAAGGGGGGCGCTTTCTAAGCAGAAGGCAGCCCCCCGCCAGCCTTCGAGTGCGCGCTGCTCCCCGCGAGAAAGGGGCCCGCGCCCGCCTCCTCTGCGCCCGGAGAGGCCGGCTCTGGCGGCGCCCGAGCGGCCTCCGACCGTGCGCAAGGCAAGCGCGGCGCACGGCCCCCGCCAGACGGCGAGCCTTTGGGAGCAGGAGGGAGGACGAGCAAGCCAAGATCCCCTTCCCTGCCCACCTGACACCCTCTGGGCACGTCGAACGACGAGCTGGCTGGGCATGATAGGACGTGTGGTTTGAGACCGTGGATCTTCTCACATCTGTTCTGCCTGTGTTCCACGGATGGCCGGGGGCCATTTCCTCTGCTCCTTGAGAGATCTGGATTGTGCTTTACGGAGTTTTGTTTTGCTGATCCACCTGGATTAGTGTGCATTGGTGCTACGCAGAGTCACCGATGCGGATTTGCCCAAGTCTGCGTTTGCACCAATGCCCCCCCAACCTCCCCCCCCCCCGCCCCCGTCTGCCAGTCTGCATATTCTGCATGGCTTGGAAAAAGCCGGCACGGCTGCGGAATCCACAGGCTGGATTCAAGGCAACCTGACCATATTTGAATCGCATGCCTTTTTGACCTCCGAGCATGTTTCGCTACTAAAACATTTGCAAGGTACTTCTAACCTGGCTTTCGTGTCACACCTTGACTCACGAATTAGCTGAGCAGTTTGCTGAGCTGTAGTTTGAAACAGAAAACCAGAGAAAGACCAAACTTTGGCACGGAAATGTCCCCACTGCCCAGATGTTATGGCCACCGGGCAAAAGGCGCAAGCGACCCTGAGGCTTCCCAAAATTCAAATCCAGCGGACAGTTCCCAGAGCCCAGATGAAGCCAGCACTCGCCAATGCAGTCAAGGAGCGTTATTGTCTTGCTGTTGTTGCTGTGCTACATGTATATCCCATCTTTTTTAATCCTGGCAAAGAACGCAAAGGAATTTTACATAATCCTCCTCTTCTCCATTGTAACCTCACAACGACCCTGTGGGGTAGGTTAGGCTGAAAGTCTGTGACTGGCCCAGAGTCCCCCAGGGAACTTCATGGCCAAGCAGGGACTAGAGCTCCCTCCCCCGGGTCCTGTTCCAACATTCCTAACCGCACGACCCCACACGGGCTCCTTATGTGCAAAGCAACATTAACGAGAGCGGTAGGGCAGTGTGGGGAAGGCCCTTGCCGCAGTCCCTGCAGTGCTCCCCCCTTTCCGAGTGGGGCCTTCCCTGCGCTGTACTTCTGCTTGTGTTCTGGGCTGGCGGCAAGCAGCTCTCGGGGTCCCGGACACGGCCCTGCCCAGCCCTGCCTGGAGGTGCGGGAAGCACCTGCCCAGCGCGAGAACCAGTCACCCCAAGCCTTTCCCCAGGGGAGACCTGCACGCATCCTGCAGGGGTCGTCACCCCAGCCGCCCTCCCACCCAAAGGGAGTCCTTCCGCCCATGCACCGTGGCTAGTGACCACCTCAGCCATTGGGCCAGTGGCCAGAGCAGAGCACGCGGCCAGGGGCAACGGCTTCCTTATCCAACCTGCCGCTCAGTCTGCACGTGGCCAGCTATGGCACAGAGCCCCAAACTGAAACGGTGCCTTTCCTGCTGCAAGCGGAGAAAGGACTGTATTCATCATTTCATCTCATTTCATTTCCAACAGAGCCAAACTCGGGGAACCAGGGTTCAGCTGGGATGCCAGGAAGGACTTCCTGATGGTTAGGTCCCTGAGCGTGTGGAATGGGCTTCCACGAGAGGTCATTGAGGCCCCATCGGTGCGGGTGTTCAAGGACAGGCTGGACGCCCACATGGTGGGCATGTCATGAGTGGAGCCGGCTGGTGCCGGAGGTCAGACTAGGTGGCCCGGGAGACCCCTTCTGACTCGCTCTGTTTCTATGTTCTTTGTTTCTATGTTTCTGTGCCGACCCATAGCTGAAGCTCAGAATGCTATCGGCGTCCATCGGGACCGTGGGGACTCCCAGTCCAGACCCCTTCCTTCTCGTTGCCTCTAGTGCTGAAACTGCTTGTGGCTTTGCCATATCGTTGACGCTGTGGCCAATGCGGGCGAGACTGAACAGGGCCAGAAAGCTCCGTGCAGCAGCCAGATGTGGGTCCCTGCTTTTGCCGCCCCCCCCTTTCCCTGCTGGCCTTCCCACAAGGCAGCTTATGGGGGGCTTCAGGGATGACACCCCTGCACAGGTTCTCTCCTCTGGGGTGAGGTGTCCAGAGTGGGGGCATGTGCTCTGAATTGCGGGCTGATCTCAGAGCAGGACTCGGGGCCCTGGCCCAGACCTTCGCCGGTCCGAGCAAGCCAGTGGGAAGGGGCCCTCTGTCTCTCCTCTCTAAAGGGCAGCCAGGCACCCTGCTTTGCAAAGGAGAGTCCTCTGCTTTGGAGAGGGGCCATCTTCTGTCTGACAAGGTGCCCGGTTGTAGTGAGGCTGAACGATGAGGAGGGAGCGCCCTGAAACTGTCGCCCACAATTAGCCACTGGCCAGCGGCCAGCTCTGCCATGCCTGCTGGGACAAGTGGGAACAGGAAGCCTCCCGAAATAACAGGATCCCTTCCGAAATAACAGCGATGAGCTCTGCATTAGAAAGGCACATTTGCATATGCAAATGGCATGGAAATGGGGTGCTCTCTCGCTCTCCTTTTTGAGGACGTGCTTCCCCTTCTCCAGGGCTCATCAGCGGCCACGTGAGCGGCTTGGCCACGGGCAGTATGGGCCTGGGCTGCACTCAGGCTCTTCGAACCCGACCCCACGAGCGCAGGCTCCCCGGACGGCCCTTCAGCACCGCGGATGCAGCTGCCTGCGGCTCCTGGGCCCCCCAGCTCGAGCGACCCGTCCGAGTGAGCGCCACTGGCCAGCCCCGGTTGGCACGATGCCGGGGGCGGGGGCAGAGAACCCTGCTGCCCTCAAGGGCCGGGAAGGTCTCTAGGGCTCCGTGGGGCCCGTCCATGGCTGGGGCAGGCAGCCCCGGGGCGGAGGACCCCACCAGCACGGGCTTGGTGGATGCCGGCACCCCGCTGAGGGATGCCGCCCCCAGCTCAGCGAGCAGGACACTCGTGTGGAGGCTGCGGGCGCCAGGAGGCGTGCAGATACGGGTGTCCCTCGCCTGCCAGCCCCCCTCAGCTCCAGCCACCACCTCCTTCTGCCGGGGGTGTGAACCAGCCCCTTGAGGGGTGCCACTGGATGGTGGGAGGCGCAGGAGCAGTGGGAGGCCAGGAATCGGCGGGCCGGGATGGGAAGCGGAGTTGACGCACCGTATGGAAATTAGGTGCTTCCGAGCAGCGGGGGCAGAGGCTCCTCCTTGCCCAGGAGGAAGGTGCCAAGCTGCAAGCTGGCATCAGAGTCGGCTCTGTGGTTGTCAATGGCGCAGCGCCGGAGGCTCGGGGAGGTCCTTGCTTCCGGGACGTGAACTCTCGCAGGCCGGGGAACCCTTTGCCGTAGCAGAGGGAGCCGGGCTGTTGCTCAACCGCCTCCTCTCGCTTACATATGATTAAACTGGAAAGCCGGGAGCAGAAGGCTGGAAAGACGGCCCTTTGGAGAGCAGGGAGTCACGGTTTTGCCATACAACTTTCCAGAGGCGCTGAAGTTACTGGGAATGTCACAAGAGGATTGGGCAGAACAACCTTTCCCAAACTGCTGCCTTCCAGCTGTGCTAGACCACAACTCCCATCATTCCCAGCTGGCATGGCCATTGGGCATTGTGCTCCGGCCCTCCGGGGAGATGTCAGGCTGGAGAAGGGAGCCAGAGAATTCTCACCCTGCTCACAGCGTCACGCGCTCCGAGAATAAACTGGGGTGCCCCAGCGGTCCAGCCCACACACCTCGGGGGCCGGGGTCGCTTTGACTGCTGCCCACCTTGGGGGGCTGCATCGTGTGTTTCCAGGAGGAATCTGGGCCTTGACCTATGAGTCCTTCATAGATAATTTTTGACCTCCTGCGAGCTGAAAACAAAGGTTTTCCCATTCTCGGAAATGCTCCGAGGAGATTTGCAATGGGAAGCAGGTCTGTCCCCCGGTGTTCATGGCAGATCCTTGATCATAGAATCATAGGAGAGTTGGGAGGGGCCAGAAGGCCATCGGATCGTCCCCCCCCCCCCCCCGTGGGACACCCATATCTGACACAGACTGTCCTATCCAGGCACATGCCAGAAGGATTTGGACTGCAACTCCCATCAGCCACAGCCAGCCCGGTCAGTGGGTGGTGATGCTGGAACATGTCAACCAAAAATGGCAGGAGGGCATCAGAAAAAATAGACCAGGGAAGGCTGGTCTGGAAAATGTAGGCACAGGTTTCATTTTCCCCGTTTCTATTTAGGGTCATTTAATTGACCACTTTTGGGCTGGGTTGCTTTCAGGTGATGGAAGTAGTGATCTTTTGACTTGTTCACAGAGAACGTTAGAACTATTTAGAAAGTTACATTTCAGGTAGTAAATAGTATTTTAATCAAAAGATGGTAGGTAGATATAGAGATATACAGCACAGTAGATCGACTTTTCAGAGCCTCTAGAAGGCCTAAGTTTTTTTAGCAAACGTGTGTTTGGGGCTCAGGCTGCAGACTCACAATGTTTGCAAGTGATGCTCCACCTGCTCTGTCCTTTGTGGAGGACACGACTTCCCTTGAGTTAGAACCCTGCCCTGATGGTTTTATGGCACTTTTAAAGCCTGCAGCCAGCCGCCCTCGTCCAAGAAATCCTGGTTGTGAAATCAAGACAGCAAAACGTGGTTATCGGTTCTCTAACATTTGTATGGAGTGTGTCTTTCAAACTTCCCTAACCTGGTAGTCCTCAGCGGTGTTGGACTATGGCACCATAATCCCCAGCAAGCAGTGTAGCTGGCGATGGTGGTGGTTGTACTCCAGCACAGCTGCAAGGCACCAGGCTGGGGGGAGCTGGACTAACATGAACGCAGCGTTCTTCCTGAACTCTTTATTCAGAGCACAAAAGGGAGATTCTGAGATGACGTGATTTGCAAATTTCATGCCTCGTTTCTCGTGCGCTGACCGCAACCAAGCCCGATGGGCAAACCTGCAGGTGTGAAGAAATGAAACGTTCAATCTAAAAGGCGTTGAATTGTTTTTGGACGGGTGCCCTGCAAATGCCTCTAATCTGGGTGGAATTTAGAAGGTGCCGATGTGGCGATTCCATGTTTTAGCCAGGAGGGGGTCTCTCTTATACGCACGGCGATTTTGGCACCTGCCAATGTACAAGCTGCAAAGTCGTGTTGAGAAGGGCTGGGGGTCTCCGACCAGCAAGTATCCTGTGGCTGTTTAGACAGAAAAAGACCCTACAGCTCCCAGCCCTCTTCTGTCTAGACGTGCTCGGGATTGCGCTGTAAGTGAAGTTGACGCAGCATGAAGCCACCTAAGATTTCTGCAAGCATCTAGCCAGCTGATGGATTCCTAACCCACAAAAATCACAGGTCTAAACCAACGGTCCATCTGACCCAGTACAATGTCTCTGATGTTTTTTTTTTTGGGGGGGGGTGTAAAAATTCAATGCACAGAGCAGGCTGGCCTGGTTCTTACCATGATGCTCCAAAGGAAAGGGAAGGATTGCTTTGGAATGCGCCCCAAGACACTCATTCACAAGACCAGATCACATGGGTCAGGAGAGCTGATTATGTGGAACTCAGAAGCATAAGGATCCCCTCCCCTCCCAATTTCGGATTCTTGCTTGCTTGCTTGCTTGCTTTGCTATCTCATTTCCTGTTTTTCAAAATAAGGTGCTGGAGCAGACAAGGGTTTGTGCTGCCTATAAAAGCTCCTTCTGATCTTTGGGGATCTCCCACAGCTGAATGAAATGCTGTAAGTCACGGGCCTTTCTATATGGCCAGATCTCTCCGCCATGTCGGTGCCTCTCGCGTGGCCGTGGGAGCAAAGTCACTTCCTCAGTCAGCAGCAGGACCAGCCCGGGGCGGCTCAGTTTTGCCTCTTTAACATCACGGAATGGAAAAGAGGAAATATAGAAACAGAGCGAGTCAGAAGGGGTCTCCCGGGCCATCTAGTCTGACCTCCGGCACCAGCTGGCTCCGCTCATGACATGCCCGCCATGTGCACGTCCAGCCTGTCCTTGAACACCCTCACCAGTGGGGCCTCAGCCACCTCCCGAGGAAGCCCATTCCACACCCTTGGGGTCCTGACTGTCAGGAAGTGCTTCCTGGCATCCAAATTGAACCTTGGCTCCCTGAGCTTTGCTCCGTTGGAGCGCATCTTGCCTTCCTCAGCAGGGGAAAACAGGCCTCTCCCCACCTCCATGTGACAACCGCTCACATACCTGCATGTCGCCAACAGATCCCCTCTGAGTCCCCTCTTCTTCAGGCTGAAGAGGCCCAGTTCCCTCAGTCTCGCCTCATACGGCCTCCCCTGCAAACCGGCCACCAACCTTGTGGAGAATAATAGGATGGGAAGGACCAGAGATCTCTTCAGGAAAATCGGTGATATCAAGGGAATGTTTCATGCGATGACGAGCATGACAAAGGACAAAATGGTAGAGACCTACCAGAAGCAGAAGAGATTAAGAAGAGGTGGCAAGAATGCACAGGGGAATGATACAAGGAAGAGCTTAACGTCCCTGATAACCAAGTTGGTGCAGTCACAGCCCTTGAACTGGGCATCCTGGAGTGTGGAGTCAAATGAGCCTTGGGAAGCTTTCCTCACAACAAAGCTAGTGGCGGTGACGGCATTCCAGCAGAGCTATTTAAAATTCGAGAAGATGATGCTGTTAAAATGCTGCACTCAGTATGCCAGCAAATTTGGAAATCCCAGCAGTAGCCACAGGATTGGAAAAGGTCCGTTTATATTGCAATCCAGAAGAAGGGCAATGCCAAGGAATGTTCCAACTACTGCACAATTGTGTTCATTTCACACACTAGTAAGGTTATTCTCAACATCCTATAACTAGGCTTTAGCAATATGAGAACCAAGAACTACCGGAAGTACAGGCAGGATTTCGAAGAGGGAGAGGAACTAGAGATCAAAGTGCCAACATTTGCTGGATCATGGAGAAAGCCAGGGAGTTCCAGAAAAACATCTACTTCTGCTTCATTGACTGTGCCAAAGCCTTTGATTGTGTGGATCACAACAAATTGTGGCAAGTTCTTAAAGAGATGGGAGTACCAGGCCACCTTACCTGTCTCCTGAGAAACCTGCATGCGGGTCAAGAAGCAACAGTGAGAACTGGACATGGAACTACTGATTGGTTCAAAATTGGGAAAGAGGTACGGCAAGGCTGTATACGATCACCCTGCCTATTTAACTTATATGCAGAGCACATCATGAGAAAGGCGGGGCTAGATGAATCACCAGTTGGAATTAAGATTGCTGAGAGAAATATCAACAACCTCAGATATGCAGATGATACCAATCTCATGGCAGAAAGTGAAGAGGAACTAAAGAACCCCTTAATGAGGGTAAAAGAGGAGAGTGAAAAAGCAGGCTTGAAATTCGACATTAAAAAAATTAAGATCATGGCCTCCGGTCCCATCACTTCCTGGCAAATAGAAAGGGAAGAAATGGAGGTGGTGACAAATTTCATTTTCCTGGGCTCCAAGATCACTGCAAGTGGTGACTGCAGCCATGAAATTAAAAGGCGCTTGCTCCTGGGGAGGAAAGCTACGGCAGGCCTAGGCAGTACACCAAAAAGAGAGCCATCACCTCGCTGGCCAAGTCCGTATGCTCAAAGCGACGGCTTTCCCGGTAGTGCTGCTGGCCTAGAGCCACCACGAGAGCAAGTGCAAGCCAGTAACCCTGCTAGAGGAAAAGGCAAGAGCAGTGAGGAAATAGAGGAAGCACTCGTACCCCCAGCGAGCGCCTGGTTGCGAAGGCGGTGCCAGCGTGAGAGGTCTGGACTCTGGGCCCATGGGCCACGCTTCCTGGCGGACGGCACACTGGCGAGGGACAGGCTGCACCTTACGAGGACTGGAAAGGAGGGGTCTGGCCTCAGACACGCCGAAAGCCTCTCTCAAGTCCCTGGTCATCGGCACCACCTCCTGGGAGACCCTGGCACAAGACCGATCGACGTGGCACACGCCGATCCACCAAGGCTGCCAAGCTTCTGAAGCCGGAAGGACAACCACAGCACAAGAGAAGCGAGCGCTCCGTGAAGCCAGAGTTGCAAACGCTGCAACAGCGGTGCCCACACATGTCTGCCCGACATGTGGCAGAACGCTCCGTGCCCGTATCGGCCTTATCAGCCACCTGCGGACACACCGTGGACAGCTCACAACCCGTTAGATGTCAAGGTCCTCATCGAAAACGACAGACGAACATCACATGCTACAGCCTGGAGGATGGGAGGCAAACAGAATAGACTCGACCCCTTGATGTACAGAACTAAAGCTTGGTGGGTCGACTGCCATGCCTGGAACTCAACCACTGAAGGATATAACCTGTTCAAGAAGAACAGAAGGGACAGAAAGGGAGGTGGAGTCACACGATGCACTCAAGATGCACTTCTCTGCCCAGAAAGGCGGGGGGGGGTGCTCAGGAGCCCCACCGAGAGCATCTGGGTTAATACAAACGGAGCAAGGAATAAAAGAAATGCCGTGGCTGGAGTCTGTTACTGCACCCCCAGTTGGGGAGAAGATGACACTTCTGAAAAGCAAATTGCCAGTGTTTCGAGGAGGCAGATGTTGCTGATAACCCCCTTGAGCAGAACGTGGAGGAAGGAGCAGGAGGAACGGCTCTTCCTGACGGGACACGGCCCAGCAGGGAAGACGGAGTGGGCCCCGTGGCGGCTCTGGGAAGCGAGCGTGCTGTGCATGGACACTTGATGCTGAAGGACACGAAAGCCACACGTCGCCGAACACGGACCCTGGGCTTTAGGACAGCCCAGTTTAATCCGTCCAGAACAATGATAAGGAAAGACCGATGGCAGGCGATTCTAATGAGAAAAGGAGTGCAAGGTGGGTGGGAATGTTTAAAAAGGGAATTTCTAACGGCGTAATCACAAACAACGCCTGCAAGGAAAAAGGGCAGAAGACGAAGATAGAAGCCCGTGTAGCCTGCACTCCGGTTATTTCTAAGCTTGACTACTTCCGTGCACGGTGGGGCTGCCCTTGAAGATTGCTCAGAAAGTGCCCCTGGGGCAAAGTGTGGCCGCCAGCCTGACCCCCAGGAGCAGAAGCTCTGAGCGTGTCACACTGTGGTCTGTGCGTCGGCTGCCAAGCCCCGCGCAAGGTGTTGTCTCTCAGCTCTGCTTGGCTGGGCACCTCGGCGCATGACAGAACCCCCCTCCCAACCACGGCCGGCCTGGACACCTGGCTCTGCTTGTGGTGCCTTCCTGAGACTGCCACCTCCATGGGAGGCCTTGAGGGAGGCAACCGGAGGGGCCTTCTCCGCGGTGGCCCCAAAGTAGGGCCTGCTGTCCCTGGGGAGGCCTGCATGGTGCCGATTGTGCTGTCCTGTGGGGCCAGGCTAAGGCTGGGCTGAGGCAGTGCGCAGCCTGAAGCAGCCCCGGAGGGGTGGGCACTGCCTGTCGCTGGAGGAAGCTGCGCTTGGCAACGTGTCGCTGCTTGAGCGGCTAAAATTTGGGTGCAAGTTTTAATGGAAAATTGTGGTGCTTTAATTATTATCGGTCTCTTATATGTTATCTTGCATTTTATTAATTGTATTTATTTATTTATTTATTAATAAAATTTGTATGCCGTTCAATTACTAATGTCTCTGGATGGCTAACAGCATAAATAAATTGACAACCCACTCTGGCTGCAAATTAATAAAATACAATAATAAAATTCGATATTAAAACTTATTAAAATATTGATTAAATAAAAAGGTCTTAATCTGGCGCTGAAAAACATATAATGACGGCGCCAGGTGGTCCTCTCTGGGGAGCACGCGCCATCCAAAATTATTAATTAATAGCAATAATAAATGGTCATGATTTTTTGTAGAGTGAAATGTCATCCCATCCATTTTTACTATTGTACTTATGTTTCTAATTGTTGTGAGTTGTCCAGAGAGCTTTGGGTGTTAGGCAGTATAGACATTAAATTAAGGATAATAAAATAAGCTGTTGTGTCAGCCATGCAGCAGCGAGGGCCAGCTGGCCAGGAGGGCGGCCTAAACTATGGGGAGGGGAGATGACGGGCCACCGGGAAATCCTGCTCCTGCGCACACTTTGCTGGGCCTCACAGCAGCAGCCTCCTCCAGACCCTTTTTCTCCATGGCTTCCTGGAGAAAATGCAAATCGCGCACACCTGAGAAGGGCTGGAGGGCATTGGCACAGCCTGAGCGGATGATAAACAGGCGCGCAATTTGCCTCCGCGACCGCAGCAGATGGGTATCTCTCGGGCTCCGCTGGGTGAATTCCAGGGAGGGAAGGTGGAGCCACAGGGGCCTCGGCCTTGGGTGGCCTACAAGGACAGAAGAGGAGCCCCGGGGCTGGATCAGAGCCAGGCCACCCAGCCCAGTGGACCCACGTGCAGGGGAAGATGGGCAGCGGGGTGCTTGCCCCGCCTGCGGGTGTTCTGGCTGGCCCCAAGCACCCTGCCGCTGTGGCTGGGGGTAGCCAGGGCGGCACCTCCGGGGAGCTTCCTGCCCCCTTTTAAAGCCCTCCCAGGGGGTGGCCATCGCGGCATCTTGTGGAAGCAAGTCCCGCAGTTGAACTCCGCCAGTGTCAAGAAGCACCTCCTTTTATCCGTCCAGAATCTCCCGCACGTGGAGAGATTTGCTGCGGGACTCTCCGGGGCTCCCGCATTATGGGATCAACCGCAGAATGTCTCCTCCTCCACACCAGGCCCGACTTCGCACAGCTCAGCTGAGTCCCCACTTCCTCGCCTCTTGTCTGAGCTGCCGTGAGCTTCCCCCAAGGAGGGGGGTCGCTGCAGCCCCCGACCATTTCAGGCGCCCTCGTCTGCACCTTTGCAGTGCGACGGCGCCTTTCTCGGTGTGGTGAGCAGAGCCACATTCCAAGGGCGGCCACACCGGAGAGGCATGCTGAACGCCACAAGGACACATGCGCCGCATGGGGATTCTAAAGCTGCAGAGGAAGGATGCAAGCTCAAAATCTCCCAACATCACGGGAGAATGAAGCAAGGTCAAGAGCTGCCGGCAGCCAGGGGATAACAAACTCGTTTTAAATGTTCAAGGATAGGCTGGACGTGCGCATGGTGGGCATGTCGTGAGCGGAGCCGGCTGGTGCCGGGGGCAGACTAGATGGCCCGGGAGACCCCTTCTGACTCGCTCTGTTTCTGTGTTTCTCAATGCTTCCAAATAAGCATCTTGCTTAAGAAGGTGCTGGTAGAACATGATTCTTCTAGTTCAGGAGGGCCTCATAATGCCGGCTGGGGCAGATGAAGCCGTGTAGCCCAAGGCCTGCCAGCTTTCCTTCCAGTAATGGGAGCAACCGGAAAGACTGGTGGCCCAGTAGAAGTGGCCCTGTGGCCCACCGATGCCCAGCAAAAGTCCTTCTCCAAACTGTGATGCCGTGCTGTGCGACTGGGAGAAGGCAGAACACACCTTTCTTTTCCATGGTGGATCAACTTTCTGTAGCCAAATTCAAATGTCTGAAAATCTCGCCTTCCATTAAAAATATTATAGACTCACCAAATTTCTAGTCCTCATGAGTCGCACTGGATATTAACTGGTCTGCAGTTTCATATTGAATAAGGGGGGAAATGTTCTAGGATCAATCCCTCCCCCCGCCATTCCATGGAAATCTTACTTTAGTCCTCTTCCAACTCTATGCAGCTTCTTCCAGAAAGTTGTGGCAGACTTTTTTTATTGCATCAGGTGAGCCGCTAAGACCTTTTGATTTTGCCAAGACCGTGAGTTGAAATCCTCTGTCCCTGTTTTTATACTGAATGATTTTCCCCTGCTCTTGATGTAAATGTATGAAATTTGTTCAAGCAACAAACTGTTTTTATTGTAATCTGAGCAGTTTTCCTGTCTGTTATGGGGGTTTCTTTGTAAGTCACTTTGAGGTGATTTTATGAAGAAGAGTGCAGTATCCATTTTTTATAAAGTGGTTTGCTTTCCAGGTTCGGATGCTTTCTGCACATTTGATGGCAAAAAGTACAGTGCCGGGGAGAGCTGGCATCCTTACCTGGAGCCTGTGGGCGTGATGTACTGCCTCAGGTGCACCTGTGCACAGGTATGATGGGCAGAAACCTGCTCCCCTGTCCCTGCATCAGCCCAAGGGCCGGTCTCAGTTTTGGAGAAGTTCTGAGGGGACACATCCCAAGGATGGGTGAGAGCAAAAGCGAAAATAGAGGGCCCAAATTAAAAAAACCCAAAATTTTGCTTAAATCTCTTCCCACCAGTAGCCAAGTCTTAAATGGGGTACTCCAGCCTTTCAGATTCCAGGGGGAATGTGCAGTAGCCAGAAATTCCCGAAATGCCTGGCGATCCTTTAATAATAATAACCATCAGGCTAGGATAAGGGGCGAGGCCTTCTGGGAATTCCCGGCGGGAGGCACCGGGACTCCGGCGGTGCGGTTTTGCTCCAGCAGCAGGACCGGGGCATTCATGCTGAGGCGGGAGTGGCTGGGCCAGGCGTTCAGTGCTTGTCCTCTTCTCCGGCCAGGATGCCAGTGTGAGCTGCTACCAGATCCAGTGCCCCGTCCTGCAGTGCCCGGACCCCATCAGCGACCGTCAGCAGTGCTGCCCCCGGTGCCCAGGTGAGTGGACTTTCGGCCGAGGGCGTCCTCCGCCTAGGCTTCAGCAAAGCTTTTGGCAAAGTGCCCCGGGATATCCTGATCAGCAAGCTGGCTGGGAGCGGGCTGGATGGAAGGACGATCAGGCGGCTCCAGGCTCGGTTACAGAATCGGACTCAGTGGCAGCTTCTCCACAGCAATGGCAGTTTCTTCACTGAGGAAACCGCAGTAGAAAATGTGAGAAAATCACTGTTTTCTTTGAGGAGAAACAGAAGATAAAATCCAGTGTGGCTAGTCCTCATGATCACCACCGTCGTCACCACTGGTCATAAATGAGCTCCTTTGTCCCCATTTATCCAGGGCAATTCTTGTGGCCCTGGGGAGAGCCAGGTGCAAATCCCCTTTTGCTGAGAGGGTCTCGGGGTGACCGGGGCCCGTCCAGCCCACCCCCAGCCCACCCTCCTTCTCAGCAGAGAGCCCTGTGCAGAGCTCCCTCGCTCCTTGGAGGGAAGGCTGGATTTCCGTGAAATACACAATGCACCCAAGGTCTGGGCACATCCACGGGCTGACCTCTTCCTCCGGCAGGTGGCTACCCGGGGCTGGCCGTACCGCCGGGCGGAAGGAAGCTGCTCCCTCAGGCTGGGCAGTCCTTGCGCGACTGACTGGGCGCCGGCTCTGGAAGCCACGGGGGCCAGGCCCAGCCTCCGCCGTGTTTTTACAGCATTTCTACTGCCAAGGGCAGGGCGAGGCGGGGGTTTCATGTCCAGAACGATTTAGCCGGCTTGGGATGCAGCTCCTCTCAGCTCGGGAGGAGGGAAGGTGTTGTGTGCTGCCCCCGCCCCCCGCAGCAGAATATTTGGGGCCAGCCCTCTACCTGCCTCGCAGATCCCCCTCCAAAAGCCATGCAAGCGCATGTCGGCCCGCGAGCATGTTCCACCGGTGAATGAGCACCCCCGGGATGGGGCCCTGTGCGTGCCGGGCTTGTGCGACCGGGGCCCCCGAGCAGAGCCCCGAGCTGCTTCCGTGCAGGGTCACCGGTGCTTCTGGTCTGCCTCTCCTCCTCCTCCTCCCCAGAGCTTCAGGCTTCCCCCAGACTTCAGGCGCCCGTCAATTCCTCCTGCCAGCACAACGGGACCACGTACCAGCACGGGGACATGTTCACCCACAGCGACCTCTTCCCCTCCCGCCAGTCCAACCAGTGCGCCCAGTGCAGCTGCTCGGTAAGTGGCTTGGGCCCGGTGCGCCGAGGAGCCCTTCTGTGCCGGTGGCACCGATCCGCAAGGGTCATCCGGAGGGGGGCGGGATCCCACACAGGGGTTCGGAGCCTCAGGCCAGGGACTGGATTCAGCCCCCCCAGAGGCCTCCCTCCCCCTCCGATGGCTGTACCCCCAGCCACGCCCCCACCTCCGATCGCCACGCGTTGCGAGGTGTGCCGCTTCTGAGCGTCTCCCTCCATTTTAAGTGGCTGAAATTATTTATTTGTTAGATTTAGATCCTTTGTTTTCCCCCCAGAGAACTCCAAGGGGTTTACATAAGCCTCCTTCTCTCCATCTTATCCCCACAACAACTGCCCTGTGAGGTAGGGCTGGGCTGGGAGTCGGTGACTGGCCCGAGGTCACTCAGGGAGCGCCATGGCGGAGTGGGACTCGAACCCGGATCCCCCAAGTCCCGGTCCTGCACTCTGAACCAGTGCACCGCATGCCTCGGTTTCCGGCAGTAAGAGCCGTGTGCTCATCCATGTGGACCCACCTTGCACCTGGCGCTCCGCCCCCTTTGCCCTCAGCCCCGCCCACCCCTCCGTGCCCCTCTCCAGTGCGGCATTGCGAGCAAGCCAGGACGGGGTGGGGGAAGCAGGGCCCGCAGGCCCCCCGTGGAGGGAGGCAGGACCCACCCCCCACGATGCCGCCCGAGCCGGGATTCACCCTGCCTCCCGGGGGGCTGGCCAGGCCGGCCGGGACCGACGGCGTCGCTCGGCCAGAGCTGCACGGGCGCCGGGCCGGGCCAGGACATGCCCGCCTGCCCGCCCTCCCCGCCCGAGGTCTGCCCCGGCTGGAACGGACCGGCTCGCCGGAGGCGCTCCCTCGCCGCTGGGGTGCCTCTCCTGACCTCGTGCCGGGCTTGCCTCCCCAGGAGGGCCAGATTTACTGCGGTTTGGTGAGCTGCCTGGACCTGCTGTGCCCCTCGCCCCAGAGCGTCCCGGGCACCTGCTGCCCCGTCTGCAGAGGTAACGTGGGACTCGCCGCTCGTGCGCGGGGACCACCGTGGCCCTTTCGCCGGAGGGGGGATGCAGCCGGAGGGCTCGGGTGGGCCTCCTTTGCTGGTGACTCCGATCACGCGCCGGTCGCGCTTCCAGGATCTGCCCCTCCGGCCCCCACCCCGCCCCACGTCGGTTGGGTTTTATACAGGTTTAAACGCCAGGTGTTTGTATTATATCCCTGCAGAGCAGAGCTGCCTTTGCTACCGACTTGGCTCTGCTCTCGACCCTGGAGGTTGGACAGCACAGCGACCGTTCCAAAATGATTTCACCACTCAGATAATGTTTGAGGTGAAGGAGGAATTTGAATGAATAAACAGGGCACAGGAATGTGCAGGGTACATCCTAGAGGGAATCAGAATTATACCTTCCTGTGGGAACCTCTCACCTGACTCTACCTTTTCGTCTTTCAGCAGACGGTTCCAACGAGAGGTTGATAGAGGAACCCCAGCTAACCGGCGGTGTTGTACGTGAAGTTGCCTCTTTAATAGCAAGTTTGTAGACATACATCTGTAAATGGCTTTTTTTTTAAATGCCTGGGTCTGAGTTTCAGCCTCTACACCACCAGACAGTTATGTTTATACATACAATATTCAAATGTTATAATGCTCAGAAAATATGTGACGGGGGTATCTCTAAGGGGTGGAGAGCCTTACGTAACTACCGTCAGTTCTCACCATCGCTCTGACCCTAAACATGTTCAAGGTCAGGGAAAGGGGGAGTAGCCAGGGAGAACGGGCATCGCCTTCCGGGGAAGCCAAGGGGCTGTGCTGCGACCCCAGGGGGGCCTTCCTTACAGGGATCGGGGCTTGCCTCTCTGGGGTCGTGTCCCAGGAAGCCCTAGGAGCCGATTCCGGGAGAAATGCAAACGGGACGATGGCGCTGAGGTGCCTGGGAGAGATGAAGCTGCCCTGTTGCCCAGACTCTCAGGAGAAGACGAGGTGGTCGCATGGATGCGGTGGGGAGGCAGGCGGGGTGTGGAGGGGCAGAGGGGGTGGGAAGGCATCGCGATGCGAGGGCGAGACTCGGGGGAGAAGCACGGCATGACGCAGTATTGGGTGCCAAGGGACCAGTGGGCAGAGGTCCCCCGTGCAAAGGCCTGGCTGGAGGGCAGAGCTTGCAGCCCGCCTGGCGGGAACGACGGGGGCGGCAGCCGTCGGCCTGGCTCTGTATCGCCTTCCTTTCTGGGAGCTTTGATGCCAGGCAGCCGCGAGAGCGGGAAACGGCACGGCCGGAATGCGAGCGGACTTCTGCGTCCGCTGGGGGGCCACTAGCGCTCCTTATCTGATGCAGCCTCGCCAGACCTGGTGTCCTGCAGCTGTGCTGGAGCGCAACACCCATCATCCCCAGCCAGCACGGCCATGTTGACTGTCCAGGCGCAAGGCTTTGCTTCGTTCAGCGTGGCATGCGTGAAGTCCCAGCGGGGGGGGGGGGGCATGGTCGGTTCACTCACACTTGTTCCCTGCCCTTTTCCCTTCAAAGCAGCTTCCACGGTTCTCCTTCTCCTCTCCGTTGTCATCCTCACAACAACAGCCCTGTGAGGTAGGCTAGGCTGAGTGGCAGTGATTGGCCCAAAGGCACCCAGGGAGCTCCGTGGCTGAGGGGGGACTCGAACCTGGGTCTCCCGAGGTTGCTGAAGTCCAAGGGTGCTTTTTTAATGGCAGGCGCTTCCAAAGATGGAGGCAGCAGCTTCCCGGCACAGAGTTAGCCTGGCGATCATACCGGGCAAGCTCCTCTCGGCTGGCTGCTGGCTGGGCAGGCCCAGGTGGTGTCACGAAACCCGGGCTGGGTCCCCCGTGGCAGCAGGTGTGAGCCCGTGCAGAAGAATGCTGGCCTGGCACGCAGTGCGTGCCGACTCACCTGCTGAGCTCCAGGCCTGCAGCTCCGTGCTTTGAGTTTAGTCCTCCCAAAGCCGAGTAGCCAGCGGTACAGGAGGGTGGGAAATGCAGCCCAAAATCTGCAGGGCCAAACGCTCCCCCTCCCGGCAGAGCCAAATTGCACTGATCTAACCGGCAGCGGAGACGAGAGCGGTCACCTTGACTCGCTTTCTCACGCAGTCACAGATTTGTAGAGTTGGAGGGGGCTAGAGGGTCATCGGGACCATCCCCCTGCTTTCGCAGGACGCCACGTTACACCATCCCACTCAGGCAGCTGTCCAGATGTCTTTTGAATGTCTCCAGCAAGGAAGAGCCTACAATTTCCCCAGCTAATGGGCTCCGTTGTCGTACTGCTCTGTCAGGGAAGAAATTCTTCCTGGCGTCCAGTCTGAATATCTGGTTTCCTTTAACTTACGCCCATTATTCTGTGTCCTGCACTCTTTGCTTTTTTGAGAGCCTTTGAGGAATTTGTGGAGGGCTGTCCCATCTCCCCACAGTCGTCTCTTCCTGAGGCTGAGCATAGAAACATAGAAGCAGAGCGAGCCAGAAGGGGTCTCCCGGGCCATCTAGTCTGACCCCCGGCTCCAGCCGGCTCCGCTCACGACATGCCCACCATGTACACCTCCAGCCTATCCTTGAACACCCGCACCAATGGGGCCTCAACCACCTCCCATGGAAGCCCGTTCCACACCTTCAGGGTCCTGACTGTCAGGAAGTGCTTCCTGGCATCCAAATGAAACCTTGGTTCCCTGAGCTTTGCTCCGTTGGGGCGCGTCCTGCCTTCCTCTGCAGGGGAGAACAGGTCTCTGCCCACCTCCGTGTGACACCCCCTCACGTACCTGCATGTCGCCATACAACCAGCATGCCTGGTTCTCTCCGTCTTTCCTCAGAGGGCTTCGCCTCCAGGCTCTGAACCATCCTCGCTGCCCTCCTCTGCACCCTTTCTAGCTTTTCTGCATCTCTTAAAAACTTGGGGTGCACAGAACTGGGCGGTCCTGCAGGTGAGGTCCAGTGCTGAGTGTAGGGGAGCTGGTCCTTCCTGTGTTATGGAGGTGATGCTTCTCATAATGCAGACCAAAATAATGTTGGCCATATTTGCAGCTGCATCACGTTGTTGGCTCATATTCAGCCTGTGATCTGCAGCAAGTCCGAGATTCTTCTCATTTGCAGTGTTGCTGAGCTATCTGGTAGCAGTGTGCTTGGTTTCCTGTTTTTAAGTGGAGGACTTGGCATTTGTCCCTATTGAATTTCATTCTGTTGTTCTCTGCCCAAAGTCCATTTGGGAGGTTACCCAGTCAAAAAAATGAAATTAGATTAGTCTGGCAGGATTTGTTCTTGAGAAATCCATGTTTGCTTCTAGTAATTACTGCATGGTTTGCAGGCTGTCTGCTTCATGACTTGCTCCAGAATTTTTTCCCGGGATTGATGTCAGACTGACCGGTCCATAGTCCCCAGCTTCATCTTTTCCCTTTCCTGTAGACAGGGACAAGTTGGCCCTTCAGCAGTCGTCCAGCCCTTCTCCCATCTTCCATGAATTCTGAAGGACGATAGCGTGGCCCAGTGAGGCGATCCTTGGCCCTTTGCCTGCCAGTCTTGGGCTGCCGTCGCGCCCGCCGGTTGTCCTTGCCCTTCGTCGGGAAGCCTGTGGTCCTTCTTTGGGGAGAAGACGGAGCCACGGCGGGGGCTGAGCACTCCCGCCTCTTCTTTGCCATCTGCTGGCGTTTTGCACGCACGCTGAGCAGCCGACCTCCCTCCCCTTTCGTCCATCGATTGCCTTGGATGTGTCTGAAGAAGGCTTTTGGCCGGTTTTCGCTCCCCGTGCTAGCTGGCCTCAGTCCGATCATCGCTCGGGCCTTCCTGACGCCGTCCCCGCAGTGCCTTGCTCCTTGCGCAGGTTCTTCCTCTGTCGCCTGGCCTTTGCTTTCAGATTCTCTCCCAGCCTTTTGTGAAGCCAGAAGGCTTCCACTGCCTTTTCTCCTATTTGGTATTGCTTGCGGTTGTGCCTTAAGCGTTTCCTTCTTTCTTTTTTAAAGATATCCCCCTCTTCTTGGGCTGCTTGCCCCTTTAGAATGGCTTGCCATGGGACTTGGTTTCTCATCCCTCTGAATGTGTAAAGTTGGCTTTTTTGGAATCCCGGGTGCATGTCTGGCCGCACTTCGCTGCAGCGTGGTTTATGATTGAGAAGTCAAGTAGGGCCGGGTCACTTCCCCGCAGAGTTCCCGCAGCTGCTTCTTCGTCCACTGCGGCTTCCCTGCTGGTTAGCGTCAAGTGGACTAAGCCGTACCTCTTGTTCCTACTTCCGCTTCCAGCTGGAGGAAATGTTCGGCCGCACACGCTAGAAGGGCCGTGTTTGGCAGAGTTTGACTGCCGACAGGTCCACGGGCAACTGAAGTCCCTGAAAATGACAGACATCTTGCCTCTGTGAAACGTTGGTGGCTCGTTTTTCGAAAGTGTCATCTTTATCCTCGCCTTGATTGGGTGGACGATAATAGGCTCCGGCTACTATGCTCCTTTAATTCCTTTTCCTGTTTATCTTGCTCCGCGTGGCACTCGACGGGATTCCCGCCCTCTTCTTCCTGTATGTCCTTGCAGAGAAACGTATCTTTGACAGAGTGCGGCTCCACCGCCTCCTCTGTTACTTCTGTTCTAGAACGGTTTATGGCCTGCAGTTTTTGAATTCCACTCCTCAGGTCAGATTTGGCCTTGTGCACCACGAGTTCAAGTTCATCTTGCTTGTTTCCCATACTGCTCCCCGGCTTTGCTCCTGCATCTTTTGAGAGACTAGTCTTAGGCCCAGCTAGAGTTTCTTTCACTGCTACGGTACATAAGCTTTTCCCAGTTGATGTTTACGGCTCCCGCCCCTGCAGAATTCAGCTTAAAGCCCTCCTGATCAACTTCTTCATTTGGCAGCCAAGCGCCCCCTTTCCTTTCTTTGTAAGCGCAACCCATCGCTTGCCGGCAGTGTGTCTTCCAGGAAGGGATCCAGATCTCTCGTGGCTGCATCAGCATCCTAGGCAGGAATTCACGCAGAGGATTTCTCCCTCCTGTCTCTTCCTCTTCCACGAACCAGAAGGACGAAGGAGAAAACTATCCGGGCCCCAATGTTCCTACTTTTCCACCCATGGTTCTGAGCTCCGGCGTAATTTCCGCAAGGCTCAGGCGTCTCCTCGTTGTCTCTCTGGGCAGAAGCACCCGCAGCACCAGTGCCTGGGGGACAGCCGGGCAAGGGGGGCCCTGGGCCTGACGGACCCCCGGACAAGCGCTTCCCTGGAGCTGATCTCAAGGAATGTCCGGTCCAAAGGGAGAATCGGCACGACGGTCAAAATCATTCTGAAAGAGGACCACAAGAAAGGTAACACGAGCGGGGGGCGGGCAAGGTTCGGCCGGCCCCTCGGAGGGGCTGCCACGGTCACCTGGCGCAGTCCGACCCAGCCAGCCCCAGAAAAGAGCACGCCCCCAAAAGCAAGAAGCTTTTATTCTGTCGGTACCAGGCTACGAATGTTTGGCTGGAAAATAACTCAGGAGCTTCCGGAGGGAAAGCTTTGCGGCTTCCCACAGAAAGGCCTTCTGCTTTCCCTTCTCACTGGATTTTCTGTGATGCAGAACCAGATGAAATTGGCTGTGGGAAAGGGCGTGGGGGTTCCAGGGGGAAGGCTGAGGCTGGACCCCCCGGGAAGTTTGGGGATGAAGCAGGCTGTGGCAGCAGGGTCTCCCCCGGGAGCAGGGCCGCGCGAGGCTGAGCATGCGCAGAGGGCCGGCGGGGCCGCTGGCGAGAGCCGCCTCAGGGGCTTCTCCTCCTCTTCGGAGCGTCTCCAAGCCAGGCTGCTGCAGGCGCCAAGGAACTGGTGCCCTTTTGGGCCACCAGACACCCAAAGCGCTCCGGGCGGCTTAAAATGAAGCCCAGCGAGACAAGCAAACGCAGCGGATCAAAGGGGGTTGGAAGTCAGAGGCTAAACTGCCGGAGTCGTTTAAAACACCAGAGGACATTTGCAGAAAGAGGTATCTGTCTGGAACCCAAAATATTTATTTTATTATCCTTGGATTAAATAGACAGCCCACCCTTCCACCCACCGTGCTGCCCGAGGGGGCTAAGAATAAAACAATAATCCAGGACAGAGCTCCCTGGGGAGCCCCTTGGGCAACCGGGTGGCCACAGTCCTCAAAGCACACCCCGCTCGTCCAGAGCACCCCACATCTGACGGGGGGCACTCGGGGCCAGGGACAGGTCAGTATGAGAGAAGCTCAGTACCTGGGTCCCAAGTGAGGTGGCCTACTTTACAGACGGCAGTCCTCTATTTGCAGGTGTCCTTGGGGGTCACCGTGCACAGGGAACGGCCAGATGGCCAGTGGCCTCTGCGTCCAAGCCGTGCTCGCACCCCGGAGCAGACAAGGGACCCGGCCCCCGGGGCAGGAGACGAGCAGGGGCCCCCCTTTCTGAGCAGACATACCCCCCCCCACCGTGCAAACCGCCTCCACGCCCCGCCCTGCCTCCTTGGGGGTGCGGCTTTGGCGGCCGCCCCTCCCAGGCCTGCTGGATGCAGCTGCCTTCCCTTTGCAGGGGCGCCCGGTCGAAATCTGGGTGCCTTGTGCAAAGGGAACAGCCCAAAGTCTCGGGGCGCAGAGCACACCCCATGTGCTCCGCGGCTCCCCCTGAACGCGGAACCCCCCCCCCAGCGTGTGTGTACAACGGGGAGACCTACTCGCACGGGGAGGTGTGGCACCCCACGGTCCGCTACATTACGCACCTGCCCTGCATCCTCTGCACCTGCCGAGACGGGACCCAGGACTGCCAGAAGGTCACCTGCCCGAAGGTGTACCCCTGCGAGGAGCCCGAGGCCGTGGAGGGGAAGTGCTGCAAGGCGTGCCCAGGTGAGAGGCGAGCGGGCGCTGGGCGGGGAGGCGGGAAGCGAGGGGGCCCCTCCGTCGCTGCCCTGAACGGGGCCTGCCTCCGTCTGCGCCCCCCACAGGGGCCCGGGGTGTCCTCTCCGAATTGCTCTGCAGGGTTCCAGGCACGGTTCTTTTCCAGCCCCTCCTGGGGACGCTGCAGCTTGAACCTGGGCCCACCTGCCATCTCTCCCGGGCAGACGACGCCATCGTGTAGGCAGACGGAGCCGGATCAGTGGGGGCAAAGCAGTGGGGGTGGGGGGCAGCCGCTGTCCTCGGGGAAACAAGAGGGCGCCGAGCGCTGCCCACGCGGCGTATTTGGGCCGGCGAGAGGGTTCTCTGTGGGCCCTTTGCTTGGGCCGAATGTTTGAAGAGAGCCCGACGTGGAGGACATCGTGGCACAGCTGCCGTTTTACGTAATGCCTCCCCCTCCCAAAGGCGCCCCTCACCCCACAGGGCTCTTGCCCCCCCCCCAAACAGGAGGGCTTGGACAAGCGGCCGCTTTTACCTGCAGCCAACAGGTTGGTGTCGCGACCGCTTTTCACCCACTTAAAGCCTTCCTTGCAAAATGTTTATTGGCCAAAGTGTTTTCCAGATGCACAAACGCCCAGCGTGAACCTCTGAGCATGTGCAGAGTGGTTCCCTGAACCCATTCGGGGACTCACCTCCAGGAACTCTCCTTAGGGGCTGCTTGGACCCCATCCCCTGGGTGGGTAGGGGGGCTTCTGATAGCGAGCACACCTCCTCTCTGCGTGCCGATCCTCTAAGTGGGCCAGCCCCGCTGACGACACGCCATGGGGCCGAGAGCCACACCTGCCCCCGTCTGCGTCTGAGAAGCCCCCCTGCTCCGGTCCCCTCCCGCCTTGGTTGCGCCCAGGGCCAGCCTGCCCACCTGGGGAGCTGAGGCACCTCTCTCCTCTCAGTGCCCCAGGATGGCCTCATCCCGCTCCCCTTCCCCTTCCGATTCCGGATCCCCGCCAGCCGCCCTGGAGAGCAAGCGCCCAGGCAGCCGCCTCCCACGCCCCCCAGCGGCCTCGGATGCCGCTTCCATGTTTGCTCGTCTCCGTGTCCATCAGCACTCCCCAACTTGGTGTCCTCCGGATGTGTTGAACTACATGTCCCATCATTCCCAGGCGGTGAGGTGGTCCAGCCCATCCGGAGGGCGCCCAGCTGGGGAAAGCCAGCGGGCTTGTGTTGGGAGGGGACGGGCGGCGAGCAGGCAATGCAAAATCCTCGCCAAAGCCGACACCCCGGGAGCCGGTCCCTCTTCTCCATCGTGTGCTCAGAGCACCCGGGAAGCTTGCCAGGCGCCACCGGCCGGTCCAGGAGCCTCGGCCAAGTGCAAAGCAGCCGTGTCCAGAAGCGACCTTGGCAAGAGCAACACACTAGCGGCCCTGGGGGGGCGGGCGTGCCACAGAGGCCCGAAGACTCAGTGCCCCCAGGGCCCTGGCTGGCCACCGAGAAGAGATGCCGGGCGGGCCAGAACCTGGAGTGCATCACTCGCCCGCATCCTGGCACCGGCCCACGGCCTCCGCGGAGGTCTTGGCCGGTTCCGCTCTGGTGTGCTTTTCCACTGGGCGACTCGAACGCCAGCGATGCGAGTCTAGCCCTGATGGGCCGCTTCATTCTGTGAGGGAGCTTTGTGATGTGGGTGCCCCGGCAGGGGGCAGGAATGCCCGACAGCCGATCATCAGCATCAGGTTAGTCATGCATTCATGCCGTTGAATTTTTGTCCCGTGTTTTTCCTACAAAGACCCCTCAGTGGCTTCCATTGTCCTTTATCCTCACGGCAACGGTGAGGAAGATCGTCCACAACTGCCTTAGTGAACTTCACAACCAGGTGGGGACTAGAATCCGGGTTCCCAGCTCCCCACTCAGCACTCCGAGCACCAGCTGCCCCGTCTCTCTCTCTCTCGTGTGTGTGCATGTGCCTGAACCCCCGTGGCCGGGTGGTTCCCTGGCTCCTGAGTGTCTTCGGAGCGGGGATCCGGAGACAAGGCTTGGCTACCGGCAGTAACAGCTCTCGGCTGCAAGTGGTATCTTTGCCACGGTCCCTCTGGCCCCGGCCACCACCACCACGGGAGTGCGGCCCCCGAGGGCCTCTCTGGCGGAAGGTGGCCCTCAGCCCGGAAGAGGGTCAGCACCCCCGCCCCCCTGCACAGCCAGCCTGCCCTTTCGGGCCGCTGCCCGGGCCAGCCGCTCGGCCCCAAGCATCTCTTCCGGGCCGCTTCCCTTCGCGGGCGCCTCGCACTCCTGCCACTGGCCCCGGCTTTTGTGTGCTTCCAGAGGACAAAGTCGCGCCCGCGGGTGGGATCGGCCCCACCAAATGCAGAGTGTCCGTCTACATGTTTGTCCCGCCCGCGTCTGGCACGGAGCATCCCGGGGAGAACTTGAGGAAGGTGGCGATCGAGCGGGAGTCCTCGGAAGAGGTGGAGATCTACATCTGGAAGCTGGTGAGAGGTGAGGCCCCCTCGAGCGTGGCAGGCCAGGCCGGGGCAGCGCACAGTGCTCACCGCCCCTCCCCCAAGGCCCCCCGAGAGGAAGCGCTCCAGGCGTGCGAGCCCACTGGCACCTTCCTGCACCTGCCAGCCGCCCACCTGAGGCTCCCAAGGAAGGGGAGTTTGGCCAGGTGGGGGAGATGTCCAGCTGGATATGCTGGAAAAGCTCTCGGGAAGCTTCCTCTTGGGGAAGGGGCTGCAGGCTGCCCCGCGGCTGGAGAGAACGGACCCTTCCTTGGAGCAGCAGGACGGAGCCGCTGCCCCTCCGGGATCTGGCTCTCGCAAAGCTGGGCTCGCCTTCCGAGGGAGCCAGGATGACCCTCTCCAGTGCGGACGCTCTCTGGGCAGGGACGGGTCGCCCACCCCTCCTCGTGCCCGAGCTCCGTGGGGGATCTCTGGACGTGCTGCTGCGGCTGGAGCCTCGTGGAGGCGTGGGACCCACAGGGAAAGGCTGAGCGGCAGGAGAAGCAAAGCGGCTGGTGGGGGGGGGGCGGCTATTCATTGTGCCTTATTCCGGGGCTCTCGTTTTAACCACCCGCAGCCCGAGTGGGGCAGGGAGGGGGACTGAGGGAGGGGTGTGTGGAAGCCCATCTGTGAGCTTCATGCCTGACTGGGAATCCGATCGGCTGCCCTGACATTCCCCTGCGCCCCTCCCCCACACCAGTTGCCCCACAAACTGGTGGCTTGCTTGGCTAGTGGTCAAGGGACCGGTCGGCCAGGAGTACCGAAGCCCCCTGTCCCCATCGCCGCCAGTTAGCTTAGCCTTTTCCACATGGTGCCGTGGAAATGTGTTGGACTACCACTCCCAGTATCCATGGCCCTGCCAGAAGAGGGGCTGGCATTGGGGTGGGGAGGGCAGGGGCAGCCCAAAGAGAAGAACAAATCGTGGCTTAAAGAGAAGGGAGGCAAAGATGACTGGGGGGGGCGAGTGACTCTGTCCTGCGAGGAATGGGTGGGGGGGGGGGGGAACTGGGCATATTTAGCCCCAAGGAAAGAGGGGAGACACCATGGCTTCCTGCAGGTGTCTGAAGGGTCGTCACGCCAAAGAAAGACCACCTGTCTTCTATTATTCAAGTCAGCTGGACTTATAAAATGGGCTTTAGATGCAGGAAGGCAGGTTTTGGTTAAACATCAGAAGAACTTCCTCAAGGCTTAAGCCGTTCACAAATGGAAGTATTCCTGGGGAAGGTGGTGGGGGTCTCTGCCGGCATGCTTGGGACTGAATTTCTGCACCACGGGGGAGTTTGGCCAGGGTGATCCAAGCGGCACCTTCTAACTCTGGCCCTGGGCTCATTAGAGGCATGCAGTGGGTTGGGGGGCTCACGGCGGTTTCCTCCAACCCCTCGCGGCCGCCTCGGAGCACCTGCCACTTGAGAGCACCGCCTCACCCTGCCTCATGGTGGGGCCGGCCCTTCCACACCCCGAATCCTCAGAAAGGACCTCTCCTCCGCTCCATCTGCTCTTCTGCTCTCCTTGTTTTAAGCAACCAACTCCGGCAACCTGTGGTTTGCGGTGCTGGCCCAAGGGGAGCACCAATCTGCACGCTCCTTTTTAATATTTCCTGCCTGGGATGCTGGGAGATCCAAAGAAACCCAAAGCCAGGGTGTTGGCGTGCCCACTGGGCCATGTGAAATGGACGTGCTGCGGCCGCCCAGAGCTTTGGAAAGGGAGGTGGGCAGAGCGGGCGAACGGCCTCTTGGGGTGAGGATGCAGGGGAGGGAAAGGGGTGAGCTGGGAAAGAGGGGGCGCAGCTGTTCAGCTCTGGCTTCACTAAGTCGGGGCTGGAGCTGCCGATCTGGGGGCGCCTCGCCTCCGTTTCTAGCCGTACAGGGGAGGCTGCAGCCTGAGTGACACGAGGGACGGGTGAGAAGGGGCGCTCCAGCGACATCGTTGTGCCGGGCCAGTAAATCTGCGCCCGCTGAGCCGCTGAGCGAGGCTTAGGGCATCCCTGCATCCACACCAGATTAGAGGACTGCCCGCTCAGCACGAGAGGAATGCCACACGGAGCTGCACCGTGTCCGTGGAACGTACTTGGGGGAAATGCTTGTATTTGGAGAAAAAGATGCACCCGGAAAAGTGTAGATGGGGGGCAGGGGAGTCCCCCAAGTCATGCTCATTTCTGTGCAGAGCTTCTTAAAGCAGCAGGAACGGCCTTCACGGCCTCAGCTGAAAATCAAACCATCTTGGGCAGAAAACAACAGACGGGTCCACCCCTTCCCAATCTGCAACTGCAGCGAGGGAGGTGGTGGAGCCCTGAAGGGCCAGGATGGCTGAGCCACCTCGGACTGCAGCTCCGAGGTGCCACTCTCCCCGCAAAGAGAAAACTAGCACAGCAGGTTCTGGCCAGTCCTTTCCTTTCCTGTGCACTAGTTTTCTGTTTGCAGGGATTCCCTTCCAGGCTGAGAGGAGCAGGACAGGCTTCGCGTTGCTAGAAGCAAAAAGAAACCATTTAGGACTTGGCCTGAAATGCTTTAATGCCAACAAACATCAATACCACCAGGGCTGCCATTTCAGATTTAAGTTGTGGATTTGTGCGTTGTTGTTGTGAATGTGGAGGGAGCCATAGCTGATTTCAGAAACTCCTTTTGGGATGTACTGTCAAAACGGGTGCACTGGGAGAGAATTGGTTGTGGTTTCTACCTCATTCCTCGTGATTACCAGTGGATTCGGGTTTCGGGAAGATGTGTTTGGACTAAATGCCCACCACGGTGGGCAGTTCAGCATCGCCGCCCGCTCTGTCACCCCCGGCCGACAGCAAGAGCGGCAAATGGCCTCGTTCGCCTGCGAAGTGTCTGCGTCTCTGCACCGCTTTCTGAGCGCCCCTGTTCCTCCGCGTCTGCTTGCAGGCATATTCCATCTGATCCAGATCAAGAAGGTCAAGAAGCTGGAGTTCAGGCAGGAGGTGCAGGACTTCCGGCTGGTCTCCAGGACAAGTGGAGGTACCCGTGACCCGACCCAGCACTTGGGCCGGGCTCGTCTTGGTTGGGCGCGTCGGGCTTTGTGGGGCGAAGGACAAAGGCTCGCTGAAAATGCAGTTCCCCGGGGCCGGGGGAGAGACGCTTCGACCTACCAATCTGGAATTGTGTCTTCCTCCTGCAGCAGGGGAGGCGAGTGGGCGCTTGGGGGCCAGTGTGAGCAAGCGGTCCTTTCCCAGCACAAGAAACTGCACGGAGCAGCGGCTGGAACTGCCCGGCTTTCTCAGCTGTGTGTGGGGGGGGCAGCACATCCACTCCCACCACACGCCCCACCCCCAGTATTAATCCACTCCTGGCACGTAGGAAACTAGCACTTCAAGGAAGGGGGGTCCTGGGGTGGGTGCCCAGTCCCCCTGCCTCGTCAGATCGATGACCCATCCCTGCTTAGTTTGGGGATGTGTCCCGACGGGGGGCAGGGTCCCTCCGACCCTCGGCCCGCCCTGCTCCCCGGCAGCTGGTGTGCGCAGGCACCTCCTTGGATCTGGCCTGGACCTCTGCCAGCCAGCTTCATGGAATGACCCCGGGTTCAAGTGCGATGGGAGAGGGACTCTCCACTCCCCCGTGTATCATCTTGAGACCTTCTGTCTATCCTGTCTCCTCCTGCTTGTCGCAGCTGATCCTCACAGGAGAGCTGCTCCAGCCCCTCCGGACACCCCCTGGGAGCCGCGGTCAGTGCCAGCCTCAGGTCTCGGGAGGCCACTGGGCAAGACGCCCCCAGGGCCCCCTCCCCCGGAGAGCCCACCTCCTCGGCATTGGCACCGACTCCTCTCCCTCCTCGCCGGCTCCACTGCTTCCCTGCCCAGAAGGGAGCCGGTGGCCATCCGGAAGGGGCACCCGTGACTCCATCTGCATCCCGGAGTTGCCCTTGGCTGGACCAGGGAGAAGCGGGAGGCAGGGAAGGGTTCTGCAGTGGTGAGAAGAGAAACCGGTCCAGGGCCCAGACTGGCCAATTACGATGCCAGCCAGGCCAGGTTGCAGTCCAGCCCCTGTCAGAGAATCATCAGTCATAGAACAGCAGAGCTGGAAGGGGCCATGAAGGCCATCTAGTCCAACCTCCTGCTGTTGCAGGACACCAAGTCACACCATCCCACTCAGGGGGCTGCCCAGTTTCTTTCTGAATGTCTCCATTGTGGGAGAGCCCCCCACCTCTCCAGGCAGCTCCAAGACAGAGGAAGCTTTTCCTAATATCTAGCCTGAATCTGGGTTATCATAATTTGATTATTCCGTGTCCTACACTCTGGCATCAGCAAGATGAGACCTTGGCCTTCCTCTTTGTGACAGCCTTTGAGGGACTTCTAGAAGGATCTCATGGCCCCCCTCAGCCTCCTCTTCTCAAGGCTGAACATGCCCAGTTCTCTTTAGTCTCTCCCCACAGGGCAGTGTTTCCAAACCCTGGATCACTTTTGTTGCCCTCCTCTGGACCCTTTCTCATTTTCCTACATCTTCCTTAAATCTTGGTGCCCAGAACTGGACTCAGTCTTCCAGGTGAGGTCTGGCTAGGGAGGAGCGTAGAGGAACTGTTACTTCTCATGATTTGGAAGTCATACTTCTGTTACTGCATCCCAAGATAGCATTTGCCCTTTTGGCGGCTGCATCGCATTGTTGGCTCATGCTTAGCCTCTCGGTCACTCTGAGATCTTCTCTTCCAGTTCCGCTGAGCCACCTGTTCCCCACCTGTATCGATGCCTTTGGTTCCTTTTTCCTAGCGGAGGACTTGTCCCTCGTCCCTCTTGAATCTCCTCCTGTCGCTTTCAGCCCAGTGTCCAAGCTGATCAGGATCGCCCTGCATCTTCATTCCGTCTTCTAGGCTGTTTGCCATTCCGCCCCGTTTTGTATCGTCTGAATGGCACTGGGGAGCGAAAGGAGCCCCCCAGCAGTGTCCGTGGGGCTGCGGCGTTAGCCCCATCTTCTGGCTTGGCCCGTCTGCCCTCCACCCCGTCTCCTGGGCACGTTCCCAGTCCGATGAGCCCTGGAAAGGAGAGAGCAGAGGCTGCATTAGACAAATGGTCCTTTGCAGATATAACTAGGGGCGGACATCTCGCCCTCTGTGTGGTTCCGGGCTCTGGCTCGCCTGTCCTCTTATACTCCACTTTGAGAGGCCGTGGGGTCTGCCTTCCATCCCCGAAAGTGGGAAAGGGCTCCGACCTGCTCACTCATCTTGTGTCTTCCTCAGATGTACAGAGCTCGTGTGCTTCCTAACGTGCAGCCCATCTGGCATTCTGGGAAAGCGATGATCCATTGGCGCTCCACATCTTAAAAATAGCTGCTGCAGGCATTCCTGGGCCTCGCACTGTTTCCAGAAACTGTGAGGCGGGATTTGTTTTCCCGCTGGAGAACAAGCCGGTCTGCCGGGAAGCCTGTGCGGATGCCTCTCGCGGCTCCTGGGTCGCCTGGGCTGCGCCCGCCTGCCATGCACGAGGGAGAGCTGCTCGCTCGTCCGCGAGACTCGGGGTCCCCAGCCGAGACCCTCCGGGCACCCACCGCACCCCACTGCTTGGCTGTGGCACCTTGCACGTGTGTGCTGCGTCGTGGGCTCTGCCTGCAGGATGGCACCACGCTGCCAGCTCACGCCGTGGTGCGGCCACATCGGGAAAGCCGCCCACACCTCCGCTGCCCCTCCCCAGGCGGGCACCACTGCCGGGCGGATGCCCATCCTCTGGCAGGCTTTGGGGCCAGCACCGCGAAGGCTGGGATGCCACGGGCTCTCAAAGCAGGTGCTTCCCACAAAGCCTGCAGATGGCGCAGCAGTCCGGCTGTGGGTGCCGGGGATGATGGGCACTGCAGGCCGGGGGAAGCGGGTTTGCCTGATCCTCCTTGGAAGCTGAGGCACCCGGCATTTGCGAGGCCCTTTCTGTCTGCCTGGACCCACGTTGCTCCGAATTTCCTGCACCCCCACATCTCCCTCTCACAAGGGGAGGCCTTCACGCAGGGCGAACAGATGGATCCCTGTTGCCAAAGAAGCAGGTTCTTGCTTACAAGAAGTCCCTCTGCAATAAATTGGTTAATTTTCCTTTCACATGCTGCTAGATCCTGGCGATTGGGCGGGGGGGGGGGGGGGGTAGGAGGGATGTTATTCTATAAATAGTTTGTTGTCCTTATAGGGTATCTGTTTCATGGGGATTGTGAGTAATGGATATTTGTGTACCTGCCGTCTTCTTCCTATTAGCTTACTGGAACAAGTTCCTGGGGCAAGGACCCGAAGTGAAGATGACCGAGAGTCCAGACAGAGAAGCAAAGAACTTGTAAAAAGAAAAGCAAAGTAGATATTAATATATATATGGGGAAAGTTGCATTATTAAGTAAACTATCACAGCAGTTACAAGAAAAGAGGGTCCGCAGCCAGCTTTGTGAAAGCTCTTGTAAACCCCTCCACGGTGGCACAGCACCTCGCTCGCACGGCTCGCATTTTCCAAGGCCTTTCCAGCACAGCGAAAATGAACCGGCTCTCTTGGACCTGCTTCCTGCAAAGCGGAGGAGCCCAGCGGGACATCGGATCTTCTTTGGGGTCAGGCGGCCCCTGGTCTCTCATGCAGCCTGTCAGAACAACTCCAAAAGATGCTTATTTCACTCCTGCACCCACTGCTCTGGAGACAAGCAGAAACGGGAGGGGGATTCTGGAAAAAGCAGGCATTTCTGCGCTGGGTCGTTCCAGTCTCTGCCATGCGAGGGCTGGGCCACGATCCACCACTCACGGCCCCATTGGGTGGCTTCCCTCCATTTTGGTGGGGCTTCCCTGGGGGAACTGCCTCTTGCCCCTTTTCGACCTGGCCGAGGATGGAAAAGCCAGCCCTTCGCCGAACCAGCAGGTGCGGAGAAGTGTACAAGCAGACACGGCAAGCCTGCCAAGCCGCCACATTTCCACACAGGATGGACAGCCCTTCCCATGTGGAGCAGCGGAGGCCTCCCTCCGAGTTGCCCAGCCGGGCACCCTCTGGAGACGTCGGAGTCCAACTTCCACGGACCAGCTTCACGGACTGTGGAGGACAGTGGGCGGGGGAAGCGGGTAGCGTGCCCAGCAGCCCCTTCCCCAGTGGGGGGCCTCTGAGGATTCTGTGGGACAAGGGTTCCTCCACAGCCCCGATGGGCTTGGCGCTACACAAGTACGGAGGAGCGGGGAGGGAGCCCGGGTTTAGTGGCGGAAAGCATCTTGCGCATTGGGAAGTCTCCCGTTGGGTCTTTGGCATCTTTGGGAAGCAGATCTCCGTGCCAGCCGGGGCTGCTGGGAGGCTGATGCTTTCTCTCCCCGACAGGGTTCGACCAACGCTGGAGGGCTGCGCACAGTTTCCGTTGGGTCACCATCGAGCCAAGTTCTTGGTGAACCATGGACTGTTGTGTTGTCGGAACTCAGCCACACCGACAAGCCATGGCTTCTTAACCACAAGCAGCCCCTGAAGAGAACCCATGGTTACGGCCCGTCGGCTGCTCACCGGGGTTTGTTATCTTGGCTGGGTTCAGACAGCACAATCATCCACATTTCAACAACAGCCGAGGGCTCCATGACAATCCTGCGTGTGGAGTATCATTTCTCGGAACCATTCTTGTGAGTCAGCTTCATACGTTCACGAGTGCATCCCATAATCAGCTTGTGCATTCAGGTGGCACCCTTCCTGGAAATACCACCTGGAGGGAGCAAGTCGGAGTCCCTCCCTTTACACCAGGCCGGTCCTTTAAGAAGCAAGCTGGATCAGTCCATCAACGCAGAACAAGGACTTGTCTCGGTCCGTGGAAGGAGGACCAACTCAGACTTCAGTCGGATGCCTCACCCTGCGTTGCAGCGACTGCCAGAACAATTCCCTTTCCAAAGCTCGATCAGGTTTCAGATTCTCAGTCTTGTCACCGGAATATGACCTCCAAATTTGTAAAGTGGTTGGAATTCGGCTGTTGGGTTTTGCCAGAACGTTGACAAACCGTGCTTTTAAGAAGTGATGGCTTGTAGCTTTGTTTGTCTTTAATTTGAAATTTGAAAGTAGAACCTACATCGGCCAGAAAAGCCTTTCCTCACTTGGGACCTTCCCGCACTGGGGGGGGGCGGGTGCAAAAAGGCTTGGGGGTGTCACTTCGGGAGGAATTCCCCAGCACTGATTTCTGTCAAGCCAAGGAGGAGGAAGGGGCTCGGTTTCTGTTGCACGGTCACACAAGAGCCTATGCACACTCTCCCCTTCTCTCCATGCGCGGTTTAACCCATCACTTCACCAAAACATCCTCTGTTTTCATTGTGGCAGAAAAAGCCCATCGCTCACCGGGTTTTTCGCCAGAGACTGCATTTCTCTGCCTTTATATTCTATTAACCAGCCACTAATGTATACACCAGGGCGTTTGTTCCAGTTTGAAACAATTTTTAATAGCTGGTTTTTCTTGCTCAAAAAAGGCATGGAAATGGCTGGAAAACACAGGATAGGCTCTGGAGGACAAGAGCGCATGAACAGTCCCCAGGAACTTCCATGAGTCACGATACATGCCTCACGCAGAGGAGTCCTTAGAAACTGGGTGCATGAGATCCCGCTTCATTAGATATGGGCGAATGCCGCTTTCAGGTCCTCTCAAATTCTCCTTGTTTCTGTCTTAAGAATGGCTTGTCTTGAGCTTAAAAAAATTCTCCATTCATAAGTTTAGTTTATCCTGAGGTTTGATTTTCTTTTTCTTTTTTTAAGTCCGCTTGGAGATTCTTAAGCCATTTGTCCACATTCAGAAACATAGGAACAGAGCGAGTCAGAAGGGGCCTCCCGGGCCATCTAGTCTGACCCCAGCACCAGCCAGCTCCGCTCACGACATGCCCACCATGTGCATGTCCAACCTGGCCTTGAACACCTGCACCGATGGGGCCTCCACCACCTCCCGAGGAAGCCCAAAGACATGCATTTTTGCCCCAACGGCACATAGTTTTTCTGATATAAAGCATCTTTGAATGTTATTTTCATTATATGCCTTTTTGCACACATTTTTTGGACTGGGGAACTCCAGTGCAAAATGCAGGGGGTGAGTCCTGAAGAATAGTGGGGTTGGCTTGGGGAGTTTGCTTTAAAAATGGGAACAGAGCTGACTTCTCCCTGGTCCTCCTCCTGGTTGGCGCCTCTTGAATTCTCGCTCCTGCCGTCGTGGCAGTTAAACCCTGAGATAAGGAAGGCACTGTGATGTCCCATCGCGGCCCCTCGCTTGGAGGACGCCCACTTCCTCCGACGGCCAAGCGGGGCCGCCTTCGGTGCCTGCTTCGGGGGGTGCAGCGGATGGCCCGTATCTCGGTGCTGCCCGCCCCGTGCCCCAAAAGCTGCCTGCTTTGCCCTGTAAGGAGCCCCTCCTCCCGCCCAGGGCCGCCGCAGCCCACTCCTCTGTTTCCGGCGCTTGCTGGCATCACAGCCGCGGCCACATCCTTTGGTAAGCGGCGCCCGCACAGAACAGAACGATGCGACAGCTCGGACTGGAGTGCTGCTTGCGCATCGCCGTGCAAGGGACCTGTGACAGGCACTTGGGACGGCCAGCCCTTCCCATGCCTGGATCTGCAAAGAGCTCGCCCTCCCCTGTGCCTCAAAGGTGCGACTTCCCATGTCCGCAGGTTGCATGGACCCAGGAGGCCAAACTGCGCACTGCAGGCAGGTTTGGCGCATTATTACAGCATCTGTGTAACTCATATAGTTATCGACTGACCTATACTCACATGAGATAGGCATCTTTCAAAGGTCCGTCTTGCCTGTTGTCGCAGGAGGATGGGGCGGGTGCCAGCACAGTCTGCAATTCACAGCTGTGAGAAAGCAGCTTCGGGGTCTGAAAGACGGATGTATGTATTCATGCCTGTATAAACCGGGGGCATTTCTGGATGAATCTATTTATTTGGAGAGGCATATCTCTGTCAGATAGGTTGGATTAAACTGATTTCTAACACCAACGTTCATTCTCCGGCTCTTATTATTGAATCCCATGCTGGCAACACTTTTCTGCTCTGGAGCACTTCAGAGCACCTGTCCAGTCCTCCCTTACGTAACAACCCTGGCAGCTGAGTTAGGCTGGGAGGGAGAGACTGCCCGGGTTCAGACACCCAGTAGCCTGAAGGACCTCAGGACGGCTTACAAACGCCTCAGTGGCCTCACCCCAGCTCTTCATTTTATCCTTGCTTCAGTTATCGCCTTCCTGCCGAGTAACAGTGATTTTCCTTCTCTCACACGGGAGGGCAACAAAAATGATTGTTCGGAAACGCTGCCCTGTGAGGCGAGACGGGGGGAACTGGGCATGTTCAGCCTTGAGAAGAGGAGGCTGAGGGGCACATGGGATCCCTCTAGAAGTCCCTCCAAGGCTGCCACAAAGGGGGAGGTCAGGATCTCTCCTCACTGATCCCAGAGTGCAGGACTTGGAATAATCAGTTCAAGTTGGACAACCCACATTCAGGCCGGGCATCAGGAAGAGCTTCCTCCCTGCCAGAGCAACGGGGCAGTGGGACCAGCTGCCTGGAGAGGTGGGGGGCTCTCCCACACTAGAGACGCTAAAAAAGAAACTGGGCAGCCCCGAGTGGGATGGTGGGACCTGGTATCCTGCAACAGCAGGGAGTTGGACCGGATGGCCCTCCTGGCCCTTCCAACCCTATCTTCCAGGATCCTGTGAAGGTCCAGAGAGGGATGCAGGTTCTAGTCCCTGGGGGCCTTTGGGCCAGTCACTGCCACTCCGCCCAACCCACCTCACAGGGTTGTCGTTGTGAGGATAAGATTGAGAGGAGGAAGAGAATCATGTAAGCCACTAGCGTTCCTTGGAAGGAAAAGGGTGGGCTATAAATCTAATAAATAAATAAGCTGAAATCCATTAAGGGTGCAGCCCTGCAGAAGTTGTGACAGAAGGCAGACCTCCAACTCATCTGTCACCCTGTACCATTTATGGAGGGGGGGCATCCTTTAGGAACCCCAATATTTATTTCCCGTCAGTGCAATTCCTGTCCACTTATTAATATCCTCTACTTCCGTTCTTTAACCAATTATTAATCAATTTAAATATTTTTAATACCTAAGCATTTTTAACACTGTTTCCCCCCACTTTACCCAGAACAGAAGTTATCTAGCCTGTAATTTCTGGATTTCCCCTTTGCAAGAATAAATGTGACATTCGCTCCACGGCAGTGTGAAAAGACAAGCTGCACAACGTTTGTCCTGGGATCAGCAAGTCTGCATTTTTTGAATTTTAATAGCTCTTCGCTCTGGGTAATCCAGTTCCAATCAATTGATCGTGTTTGCTTGATCGATAACTCCTCGTTCATTGCCTTTATTTCACTCAGGTCCTATTCTCCCAAAACGGGTCTGGGTCGGCTCGACATCTTCTGCAGTGCAGACCACCCCGAGCAGGCCTGTCCCCTCCGCCCGCCATCTCGCCTTCTTCCCTGCGGACTCTGGGACCGCAGGCGCTCAGGCGGTGGAGCTGGAAGGGGCCACGAGGCCCGGCAAGTCCCTGGACGGCCGTCACAGAGCGGAGAGCAAGGGCACGGGGGCCCCGCTTCCGCCAGGGCCCCGCTGCCGCTCTCCTGAAAGTCCCACCGGCAAGCAGGCATGTGCTCGCAGGGGCCCGTCTTGTGCAGGGAGCGCCTCCTGGGGTGGCGACGGCTGCCCGCTCTTTTCCGGCCCCGGGAGCCCGTGCAAGCGAAGGGCCCAGCTAGCCAGCCCAGCTCCTGCACTGCAAACAGCCCACCCGCTCTGGCTGGTTCTCAGCCCCCTGAAGAGGACCAGGACCGGGAAGTGATTATGCGCGACGCTTGCAAGGAGGGGCTGTTTTCTTTCCGTGTGCCTTTCCTTTTGGAGAAAACAGGGTGGAGCAGCCGGGCCGGTTGCCTCTGGGCCTTGGGGTCCGCCGGCAGCGGTGCCGGTGCCGTTCAGCATGCGTGCTGCTCCTCCCCGATCGATGCCTTCCCTTTCACGCTTTCATGTTCTTGGCGGGGCAGGGAAAGGAACCCGCGGGGCAGAGGAAGCTGGCAGCCGGCGCGCCTCTTGGCTGCGCTCCGCAGGCTCCGCGGGGCAGAGTGCTCCCTTTCAGCGCGGCCTCTTCCAAGGTGTCACAGGGCGCTCTGCTGCACAAGCGCGGTGCGCACCTCGTGCCCCGGCCAGGCAGTGCTCGGGGCCCGTGCGGCCACCCTTTGCAGGCGCAGCTGCCTGCCCGAGCCCGACACAGCCTTTGCAGAGCCCGGCATGCCTTTACCGCCCAGCGGGAGAGGGAAGGAAGGCTGCCCTTCCACGCAGAGCTCCTCTCCTCCCCGCTGCAAACATGCCAGTCCCGGGCCTCCCGCCGGATGCCTCTGCCCAGCTCTGCTCACCCGGGGTGCCCCACCATGCGGCCGCTGCATCTCCGCGGGGTCGCTCCGCCCCATCCTTGCTGCAGGCCAGGGGTCTTTCCCAGCCCGACCTGGAGGGGGCAGGAGCTCCACCGGGGCAGGTGAGCGAAGTGGGGCTCGCCTTGTGCCTAGGACCGAGGAGGGACGTGAGTTGCGGCGGAGCTCTGCGCTTCGGCACACTCAAGTGCCGTTGGTGTGCGGAGGCCAGGTGGCTCCGACTGATCTGAACCAGGGATGGGCTCTGGCCGACAGGGCAGGAAGGAGACCTGGGCCCAGGCTCCACATTCCACCTTGGGCTTTCAAAAAACCATTCCTCGTCCATTGGGCACACGGGGAAGGAAATCTGCTCCGGGGTCGCTCCAGCTCTTCCCCATGCTGGGGGCTGGAAGAGCCATGGATCGTGAGATCCAGAGTCTCCTGGATCAACTCACCGCACCCGCCTCTCCGCCACTGGAGCGCTGCTGTTGGGGAGGAGAGCGGGGAAAGCTTTGCACAGGACCGGTGGGGAAGGGGAAGGGGGCCGAGACCAGCCCTCTGCCTCCGGGATCGGAGTACCCCTTCTGGTCTCCAAGGGACTCCAGCCCTGGGGAAACCTGCCCCCGAGGCCGTGGGGCCCCCCTGGCTTGGTGGGCACGCTCCCGGGCAGCTCTGACACTGCAGAGAGAGTCTGCACAGCTTTCACATGACCTACTTTGCTACCAAAACAATCCGCGCCAGTAGACGCTGCCGGCTTTGCCAAGGAGACAGCGGCTTTTCTGGGAAGGGATCTGGGAGGCACCCGAACCTTTGGATCAGCTTCCAATTCCACAGTCATAATTCATTCTCCCTCTGATCTTTCTGGGCCACGGTGCAGTGCGAGCAGGACTCATCAGCGCCGATCTCCGATCGATCTGTTGGCACCTGCAGCCGGATCGCAGGTGTTGGCTGCAGAGCTGGCGTGGCCGCAGGGCCTCGCTGGCTGTTAGGTAAGCGCAGGCAGTGAGTCCCAGGCCAGGATCGTGAGCTCACGTCGCAGTGGGGCTGCAGGTCCTCCGCTCGGCTCCCGCTCGTGGCTGGGCGTCTGGGCAAGCCCCCAAGCGCTGGCTCCGGCCCTGGGCATAGCTCTCCTCTGGAAAGCCCTTCTCACCCCAGGCTCCCCGGCGGAGGCGGCAGGGCAGGGCAGGGCAGCAGCTGCAGCAGCGTGTTGTCCCAAGGGACCCCCGAGGAGGGAAGGGGTCAGCTGCCCAGAGCCCCAGACGCTGCGCAGTGGGGGGGGGTCAGTATGGGGAGGGGTGGCCAGGTGACGGCTGCGGCCACCTTGGCATTCCAGCGCCTCCTTACGGCTGAGGCCTGGCGCTGGGAGGGCTGCCTGCCCTGGCACGTTGCCCCTTTCCTAGGAGGACCAAGCTCCAGCCGTGCCACGGCCCACCCCTGTGGGTCAAAGCCGAGCTCACGGGGGGCAGAGCCCAGAGCAAAGCGCAGGCCAGCCCGGGGTGCTGGAGAGCCATGCTGCCCCCCTCGGAGAGGGCCCGGTGCACACCTCCGGGGCGCCATGCCTCTGGGGCCTTGGCGGGTGGACTGGGAGAAATGCCGCAGCAGAGGGCAGCTCCCGGGCAGCCTCCCAGTCCAGCGTTTGGGTGCGTGTGCGTGCGTTTGCTCCCGCTCTGCTTCTGTGGCAACAAGGAAGCCACTCCAAGCACTGGGGGAAAGTTGGGGTGAACCGGGGGAAGAAGGAACTGGCAAGCCACCCCTGGGGCAAGTGTGCCAACTATTGCTGGCCCCAGGGGCTGATGGCTCCGCTCATTTCGTATCAAGAATGGCACCTCTCCAAAAAGTTGCCATTTAGCCTCAAGATGCATTTCTTCTCTTAGAGTTATACTCTGGCTTTTCCCGTCAAGGATCCCAACGCAGCCAGCTCAGTCCTCGTCCTCGCCATTTTATCCTTGCAACGGGACGTCCTTATCCCCCCGCGGTAGGTCAGGCTGAGCATCAGGGTCCAGCCCCAAAGCCACCCGGTGAGCGTCATGGCCCAGCTGGGATTAGAGCCTGGATCTCCCTGGCCCTGAGCTGACACTCTTGCCAGTACACCGGAAAAGCGGCTTGCCCGGGTTGTCTGAGGAACGTCTGCCTGATTGATGGCTGTCGAAAAGAGGCTGTTGCTCCGGGGTTGGTTCGTGGGGTGCAGTCGCAGAGCGCAGGTTCTGGAACGCAGGCAACCCCGCATTCCAGTCCTGGCATTTATTCAGTTACTGTATTTGCATGCAGCCTCATAGCCCAGGGCTCTCTGGGTGGCTCACAAAAACCAGAAACAACAACGTAACTGTAATAAAGTAAAACAAGGACAAAAAGGTGTGTAACAGAAGGTTAGCATGAACAACAACAACAACAACAATAAAACCAGCAGCAAAGGCAAATGAGACCATCATTTTGAAAATAAGAACTAAATAAGAAAGTTCTTACTTAGCGGTTAAAGCAGAGTAACAAGGGTGCCGGTCACACCTCTTTAGGAAGAGAGTTCCAAAGATGAGGTGCCACAACCGAGAAGGCCCTTCTCCTCGCCAGTTCCCCCCTCAGCGAAGAAGGGCCTCCACTGAGGATCCGAGGGG